CAGGGTAAGAAAACCAAAAACCACAAGTTTCAAAACACTTCAAGTGTTGCATTAGTAAACTCTTTGTAGTCTGGAAATCTACTGGAATTACCATAATATTTGGTTAGACTTTTAATTATACATATAACTAAATAAGACATCTCAGAGCACTAAGGTCAACTGTAAACTTGTACAAACTAGACATTCAAGAAGAAAGTGGTAGAAAAGTTCATTGCATATGTAAGGACATTAGTGTGAGTGTAGATTTTTAAAATTTGAGGTGCCAGAATATCTGAATTGGTGATTTCAGAACTAAAATTAGACACTCCATTCTGAAGTAAACTGAGAATTTCACTTCTACTCTTCTGAAGAAATCAGCTTCTGTTAAGGTTTTACTGTTTGAAAAACAACAACTCAGTGCTTGTTTACAATGTTTCCACAGCTGGCCCCAGAGAAGGCCCTCAATGATACATTAAATAAAGTTAGAGCTTATAAATAAACTTGCTATTTTAACTGTCTTCAAGGAATTTGCCCAGCAGACTCCTGGACTTTTTCCTCCTTCCCCTTTTAGCTGATTAAATAGTGTTTATAGTTCAAAAGACTTAGATTTAGAACTGATCTAATCTTTACTCTTTCCTAACTAATAGTTGGTTTTATATTCAAGGATTAGAATTCCAATTAAGTTGACTCAGCCTGTAATATATCACAAATCTCCATATCAAGAATGTTTATAGGTTTCATTTTAGAAATATTCCCTTAGTCAAATTGCACCAAAAATGAGAGATTTGTGTTAGACTAGAAATTGATGTGAAGGTTTGTAGTTAATTGCCCCTTGTAAACCTTCCTTCCTCTGAGATCTGCTTTGATGTGAACTAGTTACCAAAAACAAAAACCAAACTCATTGCGGTCGAGTTGATTCAGACTCATAGCAACCCTATAGGACATAGTAGAACTGCCCATAGGGTTTCCAAGGAGCGGCTGGTGGATTCAAACTGCAGACGTTTTGGTTAGCAGCTGAGCTCTTAACCATTGCAACACCAAGTCCCTAATTTATACTGCCTGTTAAATACCTTTTTGTCTGCTTGCAAAACAGAGCATGATGTTGCAGTTGATTTGAATGCCACATGTTCTCCTACGGAATGAAAATTATTCCCTCAATAAAATTTTTGTTTTAATATCTATTAGAGCATCTGTCCAGTGGCTTCACTGGGACAGGTGCTTGTGCAGAGAACAAGAGGACTTCTTTTACTCAATGCACAGTTTGTCCTGTTAGTCTGTCAATCAGCTAGAATTTCCTGGGCGCTGGTAAGCTGCCTAACAATGCTCTGGGTGTGGTAGGACAGAATTCAGAATAAGCATAGTAACCACCTTGAAGAGACATCAGAAATACAGATAAGCATGTTACCAACTGGAATAGATAATTATGGTCATTATGAAAGAGCAGTGAGTGAAAAGGAGAATCATGGTTGTGTTGGCGGCTTGAGCATCAAATGACCACTATTTCTTTTTTATTTTTTAATTTATTTATTTTGTTGTTCTCGTTGCTGAGAATATACACAGCAAAACATCCTCCAATTCAACAATTTTTACATGTACAATTCAGTGACATTGATTACATTCTACAAGTTATGCCACCGTTCTCACCTTCCTTTTCTGAGTTGTTCCTCCCCTGTTAACATAAACTCACTGCCCCCTAAGTTTCTTATCTAATCTTTTGAGTTGTTGTTGTCAGCTTGGAGCCCTGGTGGCGTAGTGGGTAAGTGTTCGGCTGTTAACCAAAAAGTGGCAGTTCGAATCCACCAGCCACTCCTTTGAAACTCTATGGGGCAGTTCTATTCTTTTTTTATTATTATTATTGTACTTTAGATGAAGGTTGACAGAACAAATAGTTTCTTATTAAACAGTCAGTACATATATTTATGACATTGGTTAACAACCCCACAACATGTCAACACACTCCCTTCTGAGCCTTGGAGGACCTTTTTTTTGGTGAAAATATACATAGCCAAAGTTAAACCATTTCAAACGTTTCTACGTGTACAATTCAGTGACATCAATTACATTCTCCAGTTGTGCTGCTATTCTCACTATCCTTTTTCAAATTATATTCAAATCATGGGGCAGTTCTATTCTGTCCTGTAGTGTCGCTATGAGTGGGAATCAACTCCATGGCAATGGGTTTGGTTTTTTTTCTGGTTGTCAATTTGATCCCACGTACATAGTTCTTAAAAGAGCATAATGCTCAAGGCAGACATTTTTTACTAGTTAAACTAAACTATTGTTAGGTTTTAAGAAGACTTCAGGGGATATTGACATGGAACACACATACCTCCTAAAATCTTTCTACGGATGACCCATTATCCTTCTCTAACTTTGCACCCATTTCCACTTGGGGCTTTCCTTAGTCATATGATCCTACGACCCTCACTTTGCATTCCTTCCCACCTCCACCCCAAGACAACAGCTTTGTTAATGATGGAGCCAACTGTAGACAGTTTCTGAGGGGTGACCTAAATTGGGTTGTGGGATGTATAATTATGTACGTGTGCATCTGTGGGAACTGAAAGTCTGTTCTGATGCTGTATTGACTAAACAAGAAGATTAAGGGGGTAGAATAGGGAGGGGAGACTGAACTCACAGGGAGTATTCGGGAGAAGGAGGAGAAGGAGAAAAGACAGGATTGGGGTTAAGCCTAATTTTTAAATGCCTGTGTCCATAGGAGACGGCATCTGGGAATCTATAGAAGGAGCTGCTGTCCTTTCAAAGCTTCCCTTCAGTAAATCAGAGAGAGGCGGTGTCTCAGTCATCTAGTGCTGCTCCAACAGAAATACCGCAAGTGGATGGTTTTAACAAACAGAAATTTATTCTCTCACAGTCCAGTAGGCTGCAAGACCAAATTCAGGGCATCAGCTCCAGGGGAACACTTTCTCTGTTGGCTCTGGAGGAAAGTCCATGTCATCAGTCTTCCTTTGGTCTGGGAGCTTCTCTGCACAGGAACCTCAGGTCCAAAGAACACGCTCTGCTCCCAGCACTGCTTTCTTGGTGGTATGAGGTTCCCATG